CCACCTGCCTGTGGGCAGGGACTCTATCTGTTTTTATTTACTGCTTTGGACCTGGTACAAGGAACCAATCAAGTATTGGTGAGTAAATGAATGAAGTGTATCTGGCTAGTAAGTGATGAAACTGGATTCAAATCCAGATCTGTTTAACTCCAAAATCTGTGTTCTGAATTATGATGCTCTGAGCAAAATTGCTTCACTTCCAGTGGAATGCCGTGGAATTAATTTTAGCATAAAAATAAAAATTGTTTTAGAATTTGATAGTCCATATGCTAATACTCCGGTGACAATAGAGGCTTGACCAACCTGTGTCCTCATGCACAAGACTGGGCAACATGGAGGATACTGTCATTGGCTGCTCATGTGCACGATCTTCTGCAGTGATTCTTTCCACTCTGTCAAACGCTCTGTGACATCAGCGGATTCTGGACAAGTTACTTAACCTTTTTAGACCATTGTTTCTTCATCTATTAATACAAAAGAAGGAAATGACTGCTTTATAGGATTATTAAGGGGGACGAAAAGAAATAATAGATGGAAGCCCCTGTCACAGACAGGTGAATAATAACTGTGGCTTAAACTCTAGTCTTTAGGGTTAACTCTTGGTGCTCCTTTTTACACGATTTCCAAGTGGTTCAGATGAGCTGGATGGACCCACAGGCCACTGAAGACTGCTGACACGGAGGGCATGGGTGGCACATGCTCAGCAGAGGAAACTTAGAAACCTATGGGGGCTCTGAAATGACTCTGAGCAAAGGCTCAACCCCTTCTGCACTGGTTCTTTCAGCTCAATGCCTCTGTCAGCAAACGAAGCAGCGGCTCACACAGAGGCCCATGTGGACAGAAGCACAGAGCGGCACGTTGTTTCCTTCGCAAACAGTTCTTCGTGGAGCCACGCCCCTTTTGTGCTTGACTTTGTGTCTACAGACACAGAGGTATGTCCCCGTATTGCCCCGATGTTGTCCTATATGAGAGCTCATCTCAGCAAAATAATTAAATCATCATAAACAGAGCCTTCTATTAGAGTTACTGCTGGGAGATTTAATGCATATGGAAACTAAGTATTTCCTGGGTTTTTAAAATCAGATTATTTTTTAACATTTCAAAGAGATTCTTTATTCCCCCCCCCCCCCAACACTTTAGAAAAATAGGTGTTAAAGACAGAATTTGCATGGGATGCCAAGAGCTGATATTTTCCTGGAAAGATACTTATTGTGCATGTAAAAACCCCACCCTGTTGTCCAGAAAACGTCCTTGGCATTTGTGTGTTCTCTAAAGCTATATTCTGGTAATTAATGTTCTGCATCTAAGCTTTCAAGAAGGGGGAGAAATAATATTTTTAAAAAGATTTAAAAATTTATTTTTAGAGAGAGAGAGAAAGGGAGAGAGAAACATACAGGATTGAGCCTGTAACCTGGGTATGTGCCCTGAATATCAAATCAACAGCCTTCCAGTGCGTGGGGCGGACGCCCAACCACACCAGCCTGAGAGAAATCACATTTTGATTAGTGTAGTTCAATATACACGTTTGGATTCCAGGCAAAAATAAAGGAGGACACTAGAGGGTGCTGTTAGACCCTCCTCTTCACTGGTGGTACTGCAGCTAGCAGTGCATAGGCCTAAACTTGCCATCCTGTTCGGACCAGGACCAAATTGCAATGAAATCAGGTGTGGAACTAGGATTCTAGGAGAGAGGCTGGAGGGTTCGGGATGGGGCCGATGCCTAAGTAATTCTGAATTAGCGAGAAAGAGTTGTTATCAGCCCAAGCCTGCATGATTATCATCTTTTGATAATTCCTTTAATTGAAAAAAATTTTTTTTTCTACTTCAGTGTCACACAGCTAGAATGTTAGGCAATGTGCAACAGTTGGTGCTCTCCAGCTCTCCTTTAGGATTTTGAGGAGAGCACATTCCTACTTCTAAAAATAATTTAAGAGTTATAGAATTCCCAATCATCAGAAATACCAGGTCCCAAGGTGTCGCTTCTTTTGCCATCAGACAAATACCAAGTTAAGGAGATTCCACAGCAACACCCCCCCCCCCTTTTTAAAAAATATATATTTTATTGATTTTTTACAGAGAGGAAGGGAGAGATAGAGAGCCAGAAACGTCGATGAGAGAGAAACATCGACCAGCCGCCTCCTGCACATACTGGGGATGTGCCCGCAGCCAATGTACATGCCCTTGACCAGAATCGAAACCGGGACCCTTCAGTCCGCAGACCGACTCTCTACCTCTGAGCCAAACCGGTTTCGGCAACACAGCAACACCCTTTATAACTTCTGAGCACATGCTTTCCCTCCCTCCCTGAGGCCAGCATTTTGAGGGGCAGAAAACAACAGTGCTCTGGGGTTCTGTAAATACGCACTGCCATGTGGCTTACATTTGTATAGTGCCATTTTAAAATATTGATACAATAATGTTTTAAAAGAAGCGTAAGGTTCTCATTTTAGAGAAGGCGAAGTTAGGTTTCATGACACACCGACCAACTTGTTTTGGGCTGAGAGTCATCTCCTGGCTCTGCCTTGCAGGCAGGCAGCTGGGGGCCTCCTTGCTTTTAGCTCTGCAGCTGCATTCCTCCTGAATGCAGAGGGTTTGTGTGCGTGCGCAGAGGCAGTGTGGCGCTGGCATCTGGGTGTCCAGTCCTCCTGCTCCCAGGCTGGGGCAGGCTGCAAGTCTCCTTTCTCTAAAAGTCAGTGACAGCATGTGACCTGCTGTGGCCAATGAAATGGGGACAGAAGTGATATGTGTCTCTTGTGGGGTGTGGTTCCCACACTGTCTCCCTTGCCAAGATGAACCCCAAAGCCTTGTGTGTGGCAGCATCAGAACATAATAAAAGCTCTGGGATCTTTGGGAAGTGTGAGGAGGACAGGTGTTAGCTCTTTGAATGTTTGGTAAAACTCCCCTGTGAAGCCATCTGGATTGGGGCTCTTGTTTGTTTTTGTTTGTTTGTTTTTGTTTTTTGTTTTTGTTTTTGCTTCAATTTCATCAGTTGTTATTGGTCTAAACCTGAATAGACCTATTAAGTTTTGGAAGATTGTATGTTTCCAGGAAGTTGTCTGTTTCACCCAGGCTGCCTTTCTTTGGGCATAGAGTTGCTCATAGCATTTCCTTACAGTCCTTTGGATGTCTGTGGTGTCCATTGTTACTTCACCTCTAGCGTTTCTGCCTTTACTTATTTGAGTCTCTTTCTTTGTTTCTTGATGAGTCTGGCTAAAGATTCATCAATCTTGTTCATCTTCTCAAAGAACCAGTTCTTGACTTCATTGATCTTTTGTATTTTTATTTTTTTCGTCTCTATGTCACTTGTTTCCACTACTATCTCTACTATTTCCTTCCTTCTACTTCTGCTGGGATTTTCTTGTAGTATCTAATTATTTAATTGTTGGGTTAGTTTATTACTGTTTTTCCTTTTTTTCTTTTTTTGAGGTAGGCCTGTAGTACTGTGAACTTCCCTCTGAGGACTGCTTTTGCTGTGTCCCAGAGATTTTGGGTTGTTTTGTGTGTTCATTTTCATTTGTTTCCAGGAAGTTTTTTTCTTTCTTTCTTGATCTCATTGGTAACTCACTCACCTATTAATAACTTGCTATTTAGCCTCCAGGTGTATGAATATTTTTGAGTTTTACTGTAGTTGATTTCTAATTCCATGTCATTGTTATCTGAGAAGATGTTTGATATGATTTCAATCTTCTTGAATTTGCAGAGACTTGTTTTGTGTCCTAACATGTGGTCTATCTTTGAGAATGACCCATGTGCACTTGAGGAGAATGTATATTCTGCAACTTTGGGGTGAAATGTTTTGTAAATGTCAATTAAGCATCAGGAAAGAACTAGTGCTTGTCAGAATGTGGAAAAAAAGGAGCACTTGTGCACTGCTGGCGGGAATGCCAATGGTGCAGCCACTGTGAAACCCAGTATGTCGGATCATCAGAAAATTCAAAGTGAGAGCCATAGGCCACTTCCAGGTATTTTCCCAAAGGAAACGAAAACACTAACTCAAAACAGGTATCTGCACTCGGATGTTCACTGCAGCCTTCTCTGTTTGTGCAATTAGACTGATGGGGTGACATTGGCTAATAGGGCCATTTAGGCTTCAAGCATACAGTCTGTCACACGTGCTCTGTATATAGCATGGTGTGCTCGCCACCCAGTCTCAGCATCTCCTGTCATCATGCTTTTGCCCCTTTTACTGTTCTCTATCTCCCCACCCTCAGCCGCCTGGCACCACCATCCTGTTGTCTGTCGGTGTCTATCAGTTTCAGTTTTATATCCCACATAGGAGTGAAATCATATGGTTCTTAGCTTTTTCTGACTGGCATGTTTCACTTAGCATGATGTTCTGATCCATGTTGTCACAATGCAGTATTTCATCTCTCTCATGGCCGAGAGCATCCAGAGTTGGATGCACTGTCCCTTCTTTACCCAGCCTCTGTCCAAGGGTGCCTGGCCTGTCTCCATGTTGTCACCACAGGAATCACGCTGCAGTGAACACAGGCGGGAATCAACCTTTGCAAATAAATGGTTTCCAGTGTTTCTGGTCAACACGCAGAAGATGGGCTGCTGGGTCATAGGGTAACTCTACTTTTATCTTTTGAGGACCCTCCACCCCATTCCTCCAGAAAATACAAGGCAGCAGTGCAGACGCAGTCCGCACCCACTGCTCTCACCAGGGCGGGCCCCGGCACCTCTGTGTGCGAGAGCCAGCACTGGAATCCACATCCACACTTAAAGACGCCAGGATTCCTGCTCAGCTTCTTCCAGACTTCCGGGAAAAATAAAAATTGCCGTTAGCTTCAATCCAAAACAACTTCAAAAACCTGGAGTGGGCTTTCCCCTGGTGCTGCTCACACAGGGGGTGCTGCCGGCCGCTCTCCTGCGTGGCCTCCTGACAGCTCAGTGCTGCGTGAGCCCGCGGGCGGCACACAGGCCGCGGTGCAGGCAGTGCAGGCCTGGCCACGGCTCTGCAGGGCTCAACATCGGTAAGAATGATTTCAGCCACCAAGTAACGAGAATACTGAACACAAAGTTTATTTAAGCATAAAACACATTAAAAATTATTTGGTTGATTCATAAAAAGAGAAGGAATTGGGTCTGAGGGGACGGAATGGGGTGCGGCTCCCAAGGTCTGCAAACAACATCCCCACGGACCACGCTGCCGGCGAGGTGGAAGGACACGAGGGCGGGAAGGAGCTCATCAGACAGAGAGGGAGAACATGCAGGTCAGAGAGCAGACACTTGCAAAGTTAGAAAGAGTCCTCGGAGGGAGTCGGTCCTCAGCCATTGCTTCTCCACATCGTTCCCCCTTCGTAAAACCTGGGATCCGGAAACAGCACGGGCTGGACAGTCTCTGATCAGATTCCAGTCAGATGTTTCTAACCAGAATGTTGTCCTTTACCGGTCATTTGTGTGAATCAGTTTCTAGTGACAACCGTTTGAAAATTTTAACCAAGATATATGCTTTCCACAACTGGCTTTGGAAGCCTTGTTGTGTACTTTGAAAGCGGAGTTTGGAATTTCGCTCATCTCCAGATCGCTGATCATTTGAGGCAGGTGGCGTCCTGTTGAGATTCTGGACACTTTCAAATAGGTTTTAAGGGCACACACCTTTTATCTACAGGGACTGGAAAAAGTAAATTACAGTACTTCGTGTAGCAACCTTGAGTTAATTATGAGGTCGTGACTGATTTATACACAAAATGCCATAATGAAATCTGGGTCATGACAAGAAGCAGTGTCCAGACTTGGTGCTCAGTGGAGGAATTAGAGGCTGTGAAGAGAAAGGCACATTATGAGTGCTATAAACTCCTGTGGGGAAGGATCAGAGATCTCTGCAGTCCCAGCTAGAGGAGAGGACATTGCCAAGAACCCACTTTGTCCCCGTGTCCAGGAAGAAGCAGAATTAGCCCACCCTGCAGAGTGCCTGCTGACCTCAGTGGTGCTGGGGGAACTCCAGAGAAGGCCACTGTAGGAAGTGGTATTTATTGAATCAAACACTCCACTCCCAACACAGCCAGGGGCTGTGCAGCCAGATTTAAAGCTAATACTGTTGTTGTTGTTTTTTTAAACTATTACTTTTTAAATGATTTAAAAAATCATCATCTTTTAGTAAAAGAGCAGGGACCCAAAGGTTTAAAAAAATCAAAATCAAAATGGCTCTAAAGTTTCTTCAGATTTTTTCCAGATCTTTCCTTTTAATGCCTGACTATGTATGGGCCTGCTGCTGGCTGCGTGGCCTCAGTCATGACTTGCTCCTCTCGGTGAGAGGACGTTCCTGTGCCCCAGCAGAAGCCCAGACTCGGGGTGTCTACCTCGGCAGCTCTTGCCGTCCGCCTGCAGGGTGCCCGTCACACAGCTGCACAGCGCCCCCTCCACCCGGCTGGTGCAGATCTGCTCACACCCTCCGTTGTCCTCACACCAGTCCAGCCCTGGAAGAGAGCAGTTCGTCACGTTAACAGTAGGTAGTTACCTCTTCAACTCATATGTCAGGACAAGCCTGGAGCAGGAGGAAGGGCCTTTTTTTCTGCCAAGGGCCTTTTGGATACTTATAACATCATTATCAGGCCATACAATTAAAAAAAAATCTTTATGGTTGAAAGTATTACATATTCCTCTTTCCCGCCATTGACTTCTTCTAGTCAGCCTTCATCCCCCACCCAGGCCTTCACCACTCAATTATCTGTGTCCATAAGTTATGCATATGCATACAAGATCTTGGGTTGATCTCTTTCCATCCACCCACCCTCCCCGCCTTCCCTCTGAGATTCCACAGTCTGTTCCATGTGTCTATGTCTCTTGTTCTATTTTGTTCATCAGATTCCACATATGAGTGAGACCATGTGATGCTTGTCTTTCTTTGACTGGCTTATTTCACTTAGCATGATGCTCTCCAGGTCCCTCCATGCTGTCTCAAAGGGTAAGAGATCTTTTTTTTTAACCGCTGCATTATATCCCATGGTATAAATGTCCCACAGCTTTTTATCCACTCATCTATTGATGGGAACTTAGGCTGTTTCCAGATCTTACCTATTGTAAATTGTGCTGCTATGAATATAGGGGTGCATACATTCTTTATAATTAGTGTTTCAGGTTTTCTTACGATATATTCTAGAAGTGGGGTCACTGGGTCAAATGGCAGTTCCATTTTTTTTTTTTTAAAGGAAATTCCATACTGTTTTCCACCATGGCTGCACCAGTCAGCAGTGCACTAGGGTTCCTTTTTCTCCACATCCTTGCCAACACTTGTTTATTGATTTGTTGATGATAGCCATTCTGACAGGTATGAGATAATACCTCATTGTTGTTTTAATTTGCATCTCTCCAATGATTAATGACTTTAAGCATTTTTTCATATATTGCTTGGCCTTTTTTAAAAATATATTTTATTGATTTTGTACAGAGAGGAAGGGAGAGAGATAGTTAGAAACATCGATGAGAGAGTCATTGATCAGCTGCCTCTTGCACACCCCCTACTGGGGATATATCTGCAACCAAGTACATGCCCTTGACCGGAATCGAACCCGGGACCTTTCAGTCCCCAAGCCGACGCTCTATCCATTGAGCCAAACCGGTTTCGGCTTGCTTGGCCTTTTTAAAATCTCCACTTTGGAAAAGTATCTATTCAGGTCCCTTGACCATTTTTTAATTGGATTGTCTTCCTTTTGTTAAGTTGTTTGAGTTCCCTTTATATTTTGAATATTATCCCTTTATCAGATGCATCATTGTCAAATATGATATCCCATACAGTGGGCTCTCATCATTTTGTTGATTTTTTTTTCTGTGCAAAAGCTTTTTACCGTATTTTGATGTAATCTCATTTATTTTCTCCTTAGTTTCCTTTGTCTGAGGAGATGTACCCACAAACATATTGCTATGAGAGATGTCTAAGGTTTTGTTGCCTATGGTTTCTGCTAGGATTTATGTGGTTTCATGATCTAATTATTTTAGGTTTTTCTTGTTCTCTTTCTAATTCTTTAAGCTGCAGAATTAAATAGTTTATTATTAATTTTTCTTATTTTTTGAGGTAGGTCTGTAGTGCTATGAAGTTCCTTCTCAGGACTGCTTTTGCTGTATCCCATAGATTTTTGGTTGTTGTGTGTTCATTTTCATTTGTTTCCAAGATTTTTTTCTTTCTTTCTTGATCTCATTGGTAACTGATTAATTGTTTAATAACATGCTATTTGGCCTCCATGTATTTGAATGTTTTTGAGTGTTTTTTTTTCTTCTGTAGTTGATTTCTAATTCATTCCATTATTGTCTAAGAAGATGCTTAATATGATTTCAATCTTCTTGAACTTGTAGAGACTTCTTTTGTGTCCTAACATGTGGTCTATCTTTGAGAATGACCCATATGCATTTGAGTAGAATGTATATTCTGCAGCTTGGGGTGTAATGTTCTATAAATGTCAATTTAATCCATCTAATCTAGTATATAATTTAGACTCTATTTCCTTGTTAGTTTTTTTGTCAGGAAGATCTATCCAGTGAAGTCAGCAGGCTATTATAGTCCCTTACTATGACTGTATTGCTGTTGATCTCTTTTTTTAAATTCTCTAGATTTTTAAAAATATACTTGGGTGCTCCTATATTAGGTGCCTATATATTTACCAGGGTTATATCTTCTTGTTGGATTGATCACTTTAGTATTATGTAATGACTTTTCTTGTCTCTTGTGATGGCCTTCATTTTGAAGTCTATTTTATCATATATGAATATTGCTACCCCACCTTTTATTTTGTTTCCATTACCATGATTTTTTTTCCTATCTCTTCTCTCTCATCCTGTATGAGTCTTTTGTTCTGAGATGGGTCTCTTGTATATAGCATATAATTGGGTCATAGTTTTATATACATTTAGCTACCCTGTATCTTTTGATTGCATTTAATCCATTTACATTTAAGGTTATTGATAGGTACCCAGTTTCCCCGAAAATAAGACAGTGTCTTATATTAATTTTTGCTCCCAAAGATGTGCTAGGTCTTATTTTCAGGGGGTGTCTTATTTTTCCATGAAAAAGAATATGATACACATTTATTGTTAAATGAAAATAAAGGAAATTTATTACCATATATAGTACACAAACCAGACAAACTGTGAATCCTACAGTATCAAGAATTTACTCATTTATTCAATGACAATCATGTCATCATCTTCTGGAACATCATCATAACAATCCAATTCCTGAGTTTCCTGGTGAATTTCTTGTGACTCTATTTCTTTCATAATCAGTGGACCAAATCTCTCATGTTTAGCAATAGCATTCTGACACAGAGCCTAGGGAGGGGGTGGGGGCCCTTATTTTCAGGGGGATGCCTTATATTTCACTCAGAAAGAAACCTGTAAGTAAGTCTTATTTTTGGAGGATGTTTTATTTTCGGGAAAACACAGTACTTACTTATAGCCATTTTCATTCTTTATGCCTATGTCTCTCTCTCTCAATATAGAATTCCTTTTAGCATTTCTTGCACTGCTAGTTTAGTGGTGATGAACTCCTTTAGCCTTTTTTAATAGTCTGGGAAGCTCTTTATTTGACCATCTATTGTGTATGATAGCCTTGCTTGATATAGTAATCTTGGTTTCAGATCCTTGCTTTCATTACCTTGAGTACTCCATGCCATTCTCTTCTGGCCTGTAGAGTTTCTGATGAGAAATTAGCTGACACCCTTATGGGAGCTTCTTTGTAGTAACAAATTGCTTTTCTCTTGCTGCTTTTAAGAGTCTCTCTTTGTCTTTAGCTTTTTGCATTTTAATTATGATGTGTCTGGGCGCAGGACTGTTTGTGTTCTTGCATAGTACGTTCTGTGCCTCCTGAACTTGTGTGACTTTTCCCTTTACCATGTGGGGACATTTCTGCCATTATTTCTTCAAACATGTTCTCTATTCTTTGCTCACTTTCTTCTCTTGCTGGCACTTTCATGATGCAAATATTGTTATATTTCATGTTGTGCCACAGCTCCCTTAAGCTTTGCTCTTGTTTTTTAGATGTTTTTGTTTGTTTGTTTGCTTCTCTGATTTTTTTCTATTTTGTCTTCTAGTTCACTGACTTATCCTTGGCTTCCCTTAATCTGCTGTATATTCCTTCCAATTTGTTCTTTATTAGTTCTATATCAATTTTTATTCCTGACTGGTCTTTTTTCATAGTTATTATATAATTTCTCATGCTGTTGAGTTTCCTTGCCATCATTATTCTGAACTCTACATCTAATAAATTTCTTCTCTCCATTCCATTTAGGTCTTCTTCCAGATAATTCACTTATTTTTTTTTCCCACTGGGGCTTGATTTTTTATCTCCCCATTTTGGCTGAGAATTTGGGTTTGTGTCTATGAATTAGGTTGATCTGCTTTTACTATCAATATCTAGTGCAGGACAACATCAAACACTGTTTGTGAGTGGTACTGAGTACCCTGTTTGGAGCTATCAGAAATCCACAGCTTGTGGCTCCCTCTGCTGGGGCTGGGTGCCTTTGGAAATGACCAAGATGTGCACCAGGGTCTGATTTTCCTAGCCTTGGGCCCAGAAGATCAGGCAAAGACTCAAAGCTTCTAGAGATCTGCCTCTGCCTGCTGTCTAGTTGACAGTCTCTTTTTTAAAATTATTATATTTATTTATTTTATTTAAATTTAATAAATCTTTATTGTTCAGATTATTACAATTGTTTCTCCTCTCCCCCTTCACCCCATAGCTCCCCTCCACCCGTTCCTCACTCTACCCTCTGCCCTTACCTCCCCCACCTCCCTGCTGTCCTCATCCATAGGTGTATGATTTTTGTCCAGACTCTTTCCATATCCCCCACATAGACACCCCTTTTCCCTTGAGAATTATCAATCCCTCCCATTCTATGCCCCTGATTCTATTACATTCACCAGTTTTTTCTGTTCCTCAGATTTTTAATTCACTTGACTTTTAGATTAATTTGTTGATAGATATGTATTTGTTGTTCATAATTTTTATCTTTACCTTTTTCTTCTTTTTCCTCTTTTTAAAGAATACCTTTAACTATTTCATATGATACTGGTTTGGTGGTGATAAACTCCTTTAGTGGTCTTTTTTTAAATTTATTTTATTTTATTTTATTTTTTTTATCTGTGAAGCTCTTTATCTCATCTTCCATTCTGAATGATAACTTTGCTGGGTAGAGAAATCTTGGTTGTAGGTTCTTGCTATCCATCACTTTGAATATTTCTTGCTACTCCCTTCTGGCCTGCAGAGTTTCTGTTGAGAAATCAACTGACAGTAGTATGAGTGTTCCCTTGTAGGTAACTAACTGTTTTTCTCTTGCTGCTTTTAAGATTCTCTCTTTGTCTTTTGCCTTTGGCATTTTAATTATGATGTGTCTTGGTGTGGTCCTCTTTGTATTCCTTTTCATTGGGGTTCTGTGAACTTCCTGGACTTGTAAGTCTATTTCTTTACCAGGTGGGGGAAGTTTTCGGTCATTATTTCTTCAAATAGGTTTTCAGTATCTTGCTCTCGCTCTCCTTCTGGCACCCCCATCATTCTGATGTTGGTATGCTTGAAGTTGTCCCAGAGTCTCCTTATGCTATCTTTATATTTTTGGATTCTTTCTTCTTTTGACTTTCAGGTTGCATGTTTTTTTGCTTCTTTGTATTTCAAATCTTTGACTTTATTCTTGGAATCCTCTAGTCTGCTGTTGGATCTCTGTATATTATTGTTTATTTCAGTCAGTGTATGCTTAATTTCTAATTGGTCCTTTTTCTTATCCTTGAGAGTCTTGCTAAATTTATCAGCAGTTTCTAGAAAATTCTTGAAAAAACCTTATAAGGTTTTGAACTCTATATCCAATAGTTTGCTTTCCTCCATTTCTGTCATTTGTGACCTGTTTCTTTGTCTCTGCATTTTGGCTGTTTCCTTGAGTTGGTAGAGTAGCTCTTTGTGCTGGGTATCCAATATGGTTCAATGGGTCAGCCTCCTAGTTACCTGATGTGGACACTCTTGGTGCACCCCTTTGTGAACTGTGTATATAGCCTTGTTGTAGTTAAGTCTTGATTGTTGTTGGTGTCACTGGGAGGAATTGACCTCCAAGTCAATTGGCTGTAAGGACCTGCTGTGTCTCAGCTTTTCAGCATTTGTTCTCCTTTCTCTTTCCTTCTAGTTATAAGACTTCCATTCAGCCAGATTTCCTGTGGTTCTGGGTGATAGACGTTTTGTCTTCTAATTGTAGTTTTGAAATTGTTGTGCAAGGCGGCAGTTTAATTGTTTACCTTTGCCGCCATCTTGGTTTCTCTGGCACTCAGTCTTGGTTAGCATCAGGCTATCAACCACAGAGAGTCCCAAGTCTTCTAGCAAGGTGGGGCAACTGCTTTCTTCCCAGGGCAAAACCACCTGGATAGCTAAGGTCCACCAGAGAAAGATGTCCTTCACAGGGTGCAAGAATGTCTCAGCACAGGAAACTGGGTTGGTTGCCCTCCAAGCTCCAACCCAGACCCCCCAACCCTAGACTCTCCTCACTCATCTCTAGTCTACTCTGCCTTCCCTCTGCTGGAGCCCAGAGTTAGTGGCTGCAATGAAATTTTGTGCATTGGACCTTGAAGAGGGTGCTTTCATTTCCAGCCATCTCTCCCAGGCAGACAGCAACCCTGCTGCTTTTCACAGCCTGATGTTATGTGGACACCCTTATCATTTCTGGGGTTTCCTAGTTGGAGGTGTAGACCCTGGAGTTCTCAGTGGGAACCCCCACACCTGAGATATCTCTCTGGAACTTTAGCTGGTGTCTGTGGGAGTCTAGCCAGCCCTTTTGAGCCTCTGCCCTTCCTACCAGACTCTATGTGGTCTCCACTTTCATCCCTAGTTATCAGGGTTCCGTCCAGCTAGTCTCCAGTTGATGTTTCAGGGTGGTTTTTCTGTACTTTTAGTTGTATTTCCAGTTTGGTCCTGGTAAGAGTGTCAGTGCACCTTCCACTTATTCTGTTGGCATTTTTGAATCCCATATACAATTATCAACTTAAAATTCAGCCTGCTATATTTGGTCAAACATTTAATTAACTCACTCATAATACATTGGCAGGGCCAGATCAAATGATTTTAAGGCCCACAAGCCAGATGTTCCCACCCCTGCTGTAAAGAGAGGGAAGGAAAAAGAAGCGCCCAGTGTGGTTGGGAGTTTTTAATCGTCAAGAAAAGGGTTTCATCATGACGTGGGCAGTCTCCTCAGCCTCCTCATTCACTGGTTCACATTACAGGTGAGCACAGGCAGGCGTTCCTCAGCCTCCCACTCCCTGTGGGAGTGGTTTATAGTGTGTTTCAGGAAACATACGTACTTTTTCTCCGAATGGGTCCCACGGAAATGATCTGCTCTTTAGGTTCTTTGGTATATTCTGTGGCAATCCTAGAATTCTGTGGGCAGTTCTGAAAGACAGAACACCAGGGGAATTTACACAGTGAGGCTGGCATCCCTGCCCCTCGCTCCACCTCCGAGGCGGTGGTCACAGCCTCGAGTGCCATCGCTGTTCAGATTTACATGCCCAGTCCTTCTTGATCACTGAGCCCACGGGGCCTCTCGGCTTTCTGCTGAAGAGAGTTAATGTCTTCTCCGCACCAGAACTAGAGGCATTCGTGGGACTGAGGAGTGCTGTATCTCATCGGACACTAACGTATGCAGCAGCATGTGGAAGGAGCTCCGACTGTAATTCACATCTCAATTTTGTAACTGAGTAAGTGGAAAGCTGGGATGTTAACGGTTAGGGACCAGTGCATAAAATCTCAGTGACATTAGCCATCCGTGTGGGAAAGGCCCCTGGCATGGAAGAGAGGATCGGTTTGTCACCCCATCCTCCTCGCCCTTCCAGAGCCTCAGGCCCTGGTGTGGCGCTGGATGCGCTGCAGGGCAATCCTGGCTAAAGAACACCTCGCTGGCCTGGCAGTGTGGCTCAGTGGTTGAGCACTGTCCTATGCACCAGGCGGTCACAGTTTGATTCCCAGGCTGTGGGCTTGATCCCTATTAGGGGGCGTACAGGAGGCAGCCAATCAATTATTTTCATCATTGATGTTTTTATCTCTCTGTCTCCCTTCCTCTCTGACATCAATAAAAATATATTTAAAAAGTGTAAGTATAGAATAGCTGGATAGAGTGCATCTGGAACCAGGAGTTTGCTTCTCAGGGCAGTGGAGCTCGGCCCACTGTCCACTTCAGATTCAGCTGACCTGGCTCCCCCTCCCCCCCAGGACTGCCGCCGCACACCCTGAGGACTTGCAGGGGCCTGTGGGGAAAGGTGTCCGCGAGCCGCCTCACTCACTATTTTGCAGGAGTACTTCTCCGAATCGCACAGCGACACCGCGCAGTGGAGGTGGACTTCGTCGTAATCCCCAATGAACTTGAAGACGGTGACGTGGAAGCGGCAGGTGAGGGAGACCCCGTTCTCCTCGATGCCGATGGTGTTGTCTTTGATGTTCTGGCACCTGTTAGAAAGTAATGCCTTTGCTTCCCATCCTCACACTGCGTGTGACACCGCTGACATGGCAAAAACGCCTTTGCATGTGCAGTGACCTTTGGATTGTGTGGGCTTGGCATGTGTTACCACATCCTCATATTTACATAGTTTGTTTTAAAAACTTCACATAGCACCTCCAGTTAGGACCCTGCCTGCATCTAAAAATAATGTCTGCGGGAGGGGACTCACTGTCCCCTCATTTCAGCCCTGAGGCTGCTCCCTCTCACCCCTGTGTGCGGGCCTCAGGTTAACACACACTGGGTTTCTTTGGTTAACCATCAATTTTGGGAGGAGCCCCTGATCCAACCCTGTTAGGAGTCCCCCCACATGGAGACCAGGCGCAGCTGAGAGGAGAAAGTGAGAAAGTGTCAGGATGAGCGGGAGAGTGCTTGGCAGCAGGGACAGCCTCTCTCCCCCCCTGGGGAGCGGACATTGGGCGCCCTCAGCCACCCATCTCCTGCCTCCAGGACTTAGCGTTTTCCTCTGTTCAGTCTCTCATGTCCGGCTCTTCTCACATCACGCCTCCCACCTATTTCATCCCCACAGAACTCCTGCTCCTCCTCCAACCCGGCCTCAGCTCCCTCCAGAGTAAACGGTCCCTCCCATGAGGCCAGGCAGGGACAAGGGGCTCCTCTTTGCCAGCAGCGCCTGCTGAGCCCTGGAGCTCCCCAGCTGCCTCCCCACGCACAGGCACGGGGGTCTGCGCGGAACGCGGGGTCTGCAGGGAACGCGGGATTGTGACGTGATGACTAAGTTCTCCCCGTGATCAGGATACCGGGGGCTCTCTGTATGCCGCCTTCCCCCAGCCACAGAATGACAGAACTCAGGAGGAGGATTGTGAGCGGAAACAACCCCTCACCACGCCTATACCTGTTCAGTTTGGCACTCAGTCTTCAAGGCAATAGTTTCTTAAATGCGTTGAAACAAAAAGTTTTAGACTGTTTCTTGTCACTGTTACTAATTTGAATAATCTAAGTTGGCTCCAAGATTCTAAAATATTCATAGCCCTGATATCCAAGCCCCTCCCTCTTAGCCAGACCCCCACCTCCGAGAGAGATTACTTGAGGTTTTGGTCCCAGAAGAACAAGGAACAGAAGGAAGGGTCCAGGGGAGCAGAGCCGCCTCCTGTGAGCCGGCCACGCTTTGAACTCTCTGTGCACCCCGAGGAGAGAGGCCTGTCCCTGCCTGGGCACCCGAAGAGAAGGGGGCGTCTCGCCTGTCCCCAAGCTACGTTCCAAATCCCTAAAGGACACCCGCCCGCCCAGCATTTGGCCGTGGCTCTGACCTCAGCCTTTCATCAGGGAGGGGAGCGGGGAGGGGGGGGGGCAAGGGAACAGTGACTCCCACCCAGGCATCGGGCCTGCCGGACCCCAGCTGGGTACCAAGTCCCTCCCTTCACCTAGAGAAAGCTGGAAACAACTCAGAAAGTCAAATGCCTCGGTGAGATCTGTCCTGAATCCTCCACAGCACACCTGTGCACCCAGCTAGGCCACGCCCGGCCAGGGGGAGTCTGTGCCTTGAGGCCTGGAAGGCCCCCTCCTCCCCTGGCTGGTGGGGCAGCCGTGGTTAGCTGTGTGTCTTCCTCCTCCGAGCCCGTTCCATCTCAACACTGTGGCTGCTGTTTGTCTGCCAGACCTCACCTTCTGCTGATGACCATGCCCAGCCTGAACGCGGAGTCCCGTGCTCCCCAAACGCCGCTCCTCGCATGCGGAACACTTCAAGGACGCCATCCTGACTTCCTCCCTGACTCTTTCCACCTGGAACAAGTCCTACACCTTCACGGGAGAGGCCCCCTTCACACCCCGAGGAGGAGCACCCTAAGCTCCGAGGACAAAAGGACTTGGAGCAGAACCGAGCAGTGGGCACTGCGGTCACTTCCTGCTCTGTCCCTCCAGCCCGCATAAAACACTCAGGTCTAACCATTCCTGTATTGAAGGCTCCTGTGCCACATAAAACGGGTAGTAAACAAATTATGAAAGTTTTTTCTGCTAATTTGTCTTGGTGTGTTTAATTTTCAGACCCGTCAAGAGCCTCAGTGGCTAAGGAGAACCGGTCTCAGCCAGGTGCCGTCATGCTGCATCCCTGCAGACACAGGAGAAGCAGGATCCCAGGAAGAGCCCTGATCCCGGAGCCTGGAGTGGGGTTCGGGCACAGCTGTGGGATGTGAGTCTAGGACGGCCAGTGTCTGACAAGGGGAGACAGAAGGAGGCAGAGACAGGGCACAGCCAGGGACCCTGAGGCCACACCCACGGCTGGAATTGGTTTTGTGATGATTAAATGCTTTGTTTTTTTCATAAGCTATTTTAAATTGGTCCCTTCTATATCTAATAGAAAAACAAGTTTGATCAATAAGTCATCTGCTCTGAGAATCATTGTATTGGGGGATGGAAATCTTCTAAAATTAATTTATGGTGATGCTTGCACTCCTCTGGTAAAGTTACAAGCACCATTGAATTTACACCCAAAGCAAAAGCATTTTATTGCATACAAATTATGTATGCAATCAAGCTATTAAAATTATCATTGTGTGAAAAATAAAAATAATTATAATTATTGCTGTTGGTCCTATAGTCTTCTTTTTTCATTCATTCAATAAAATTTTGTTTCATAACCACTATATTTCAGAAAATATTCTAGGTGCTGGGCATATTGTGGTGAGTAAAAGAAACTCTTTGATTTTATAGGCTATTATTCTAATTCTTGTTAAATTTTAATGGATGTTCTAGTCATTTTCAGTTATTCTCACTACATCCTTTCATTTTCCTATAATTCACATTTATCTCAAATTGAAACAGAGGAGTCAGGACAGAGCCCTTTGATCGCATGGAGACTGCGCTGTGGTTAATGCCTGTGGACTTGGGTGGCTTTGAGCAGCTTGCTGCTCTCACCAAGCTTAAGCCTCAGTCATAAAACAAGCTCTCACATCCGCCTCCAGGTTGTAGAGGATCTGATGGTCATAGATGCAAAACTCTCCTGTGGGGAGTCAACAAGTATTAGTTCCTCTTCCCTTCTCCAAACTAAGGCCTGGGCTCAACGGAATGCTGTAAAGCAATAAATAAAGAAAGAAAGAGCTCTGACCATTGGCAGCAGCATGGAGGGACCTGGAGAGCATTACGCTGAGCGAAAGAAGCCAGTCGGAAAAAGTTAGTATCACATAGTCTCACTCATTTGTGGAATCTAATGAACAACATACACTGATGAACAAAAATAGGTCCAGAGACAGAGAAGCATCAACCAGACTGTCAGACCTCAGCGGGAAGGCAGGGGAGGGCCAGTGGTGGTGGTGGGGGAGGGGAGGGAGAGGTGGGTGAAGAGATCAACCAAAGGACTTGTATGCATATTTGCATAACCAATGGTCACAGAGGGCCTGGGCTGGGGAGGGGCAGGCTGGGAGAGGTCCCGGCGGAAAAGGGGGACATGCTATCACCAACGCAGAGTTTTAAAATGAAATGTGGTGTGGACTCGTGTCGCGGAGGGACGCACCCTTCCTCGATGATGAAGTAGCGGAGCTTGTCGTTGCTGTCGCGGGAGGGCGTGGCGTAGCACTTGTTCAGCGTCAGGATCAGGTGCGTGGCGTCGGCTCCGACCACGAAGACCCCCACGTACAGCACGTCCCGCGTGGTCAGCACCACCTCGCCCTGGCGGTACGGGTGCTTGTAGGAGGCGTTCTTGTAGAGCGCCATCTTGGTGGTGAAGCTGCCCTCTTGGGTGGGAACTGTCAGGTTAATGACACTGAAAGGGAAAGACCGTGAGGAGGGAACCCGGACAGCCTGCTCATCCTGCCACCCCCTCTGCCGCGGCCATGCCAGGGGAGGCAGAGCGGCGGCAGCAGGTCCAGGCTGCCCTGTGCAAACGGGCCGCCAGCCACGTGTGGCTGAAACCATCACAGGTGACAGCTCGTGCCCAGCAGCCCCCTCCGGCCACCAGCTCCCGCCCTGGGTGGGACAGACGGACAGCATTCCCGCCACCGCAGGGTGTCTGGCTGAGGGAGAGAAGGAACAGGGGCCATCCTCGTCAGCTCGGCCAGCAGTCCGCGTGGCGCCCTGGCCGCCGCCCTCACCTCAGCATGGGCTTCACCACGGAGTCCAAGGAGATCTTGATGTCCAGCTCGTAGGCGCAGGAGAACTCCACATTGATGGTGCGGTCCCTGGTGATGATGTTGCCCGTGTTGTTGGCGCTCTCTATCCAGATGGTGTTCTTGTACATGATGTGCGTGCCATTGGACTGCAGGGCAGAGGGCAGAGAGCGTTAGGCCTGGGAGGGCATGTGGCTGCATTTCCAGTCCTTGTCCTGACAGTGGAGAAATGGCTTCCGCTCCTACGCTGACCCGGGGGGGATGGGCTGACCCGGGGGACGGGCTGACCGAGGCAGCGTAGGCAGCGTGGAGTCGGCCTCGCACTGACTGACGGCATTACAACACCCTCCAGCACACCCAATGCCCACAGAGGTGAGGCCACGCATTCTGACCACGACCAGCCCGTTTCCCTGGGCACCCAGGCGGGGGCAACCTGCCGTCAGCAGGTGACGTAAGTCCTTTTAAAAAAAATATATTTTATTGATTTTTCACAGAGAGGAAGGAAGAGGGATAGAGTTAGAAACATAGATGAGAGAGAAATATCGATCAGCTGCCTCCTGCACACCCCCCACTGGGAATGTGCCCGCAACTTAGTTACAAGCCTTTGACCAGAATTGAACCCGAGACCCTTGAGTCCGCAGGCCGACGCTCCATCCATTGAGCCAAAACGGTTTCGGCCCTTTTTAATTCTTAATTCAAAATCTCCTGCCACCAAATCCTTTCCCAGACATGCCCACACAAACCCAAATGAGCAAATGCAGCTTCATCTTCTTACTCCTTCCACTCCCTGAGGCAAGTGTCCACAAAGTAGCAGGACAGAGAAAGGACCACAGGCCCAGGAGCAAGGCAGCAGCAGGGGCTGTGCTGCCCTGGAACTGGGTGAGCTGACCCCAAAGCTGCAGCCCACTGCATTTCTCTTAACCGATGCCTGGGGTGCCCTGACCCCCCCCCCCTCCCTCCACACACAGCAAAACCCGCTGCCCTGACCCGGGGCGGGAGAGGGAACAACCTTGTGTCCACAAGCAGGACAGAGGGTGACAGCAGACAGGGGCCAGGGGAAGCTGCCGCCTTCGCACGCCTCCAGGCCAGCCCTGATGCGCATCCTTCTCCTGGCGGGTCATCCGCTCGCCCTCTGCTGGGTCCCAGGAGGCCGTTTCTCACTGGACCACCCTGAGGCGCTGTCAGGTCAATGTGCAAACACCTGGGCAGCTCCCCGTTCTTCCCCTCCCCCCCAGGCTCCGCCCCGCCCCCGCCGGCCGCCAGGCCCTCACCTGCACGATGTTCCCACAGTTGCCCTTGGTGTTGTTGATCTGGAAGGATATGAAATCCTCCCCCTCGATGCCCGTGCACTGCCTGTCGTTGACCCGCACGCCCTCTCTCTCGAAGCCAAGCTGGAAGAGCTTGCACTTGGAGATGGACACCTCCATCTGAGACGCCTTGCAGGTCACCTCTGCGTCGATGATGTCGTGTGAGTCTGCGGGAAACACGCCATGAGAGTCAAGCCAGTAGGACTGGTCAGGCCACGGCCAGGCAGCACCCATGGCCCTTTCCTGCGGGGACAGCAGCTGACTCGCAGGCACAGGCTGACCCCTGGGCACCGGCTGACTGGGGGACGGGCTGACCCGGGGGAAGGGGCTGACCCGGGGGACGGGCTGACCCCCGGGCACCGGCTGACCCGGGGAGAAGGGGCTGACCCGGGGGACGGGCTGACCCGGGGGACGGGCTGACCTGGGGGGATGGGCTGACCCAGGGGACGGGCTGACCCGGGGGGACGGGCTGACCGGGGGGACGGGCTGATCCGGGGGATGGGCTGACCTGGGGGACGGGCTGACCGGGGGGGACGGGCTGACCGGGGGGACGGGCTGACCGGGGGGACGGGCTGACCCGGAGCGATGGGCTGACCCGGGGGACGGGCTGACCCGGGGGGGATGGGCTGACCCAGGGGGATGGGCTAAGCTGGGGGACGGGCTGACCGGGGGGACGGGCTGACCCGGGGGACGGGCTGACCCCCGGGCACCGGCTGACCCGGGGGAATGGGCTGACCCGGGGGGACAGGCTGACCCGGGGGACGGACTGACCCGGAGGGATGGGCTGACCCGGGGGACGTGCTGACCCGGGGGGGATGGGCTGACCCAGGGGGATGGGCTGACCTGGGGGACGGGCTGACCGGGGGGACGGGCTGACCCGGGGGACGGGCTGACCCGGGGAAGGCTGTGGTTCTGCCTATGCTTTGCTCATCCCAAGGGAGTCTCTGAGTTCAGCAAAGCAACAACTGGACCCGAGGAGCCTTTTTAAAAATGAAATACCAAGGAGGTGCTTTTCTTCCCCATTGCAGAGCAGCTGCTTTTCTGTGGCTCCATCGGCCGGCTCAGGGTGTCCGGCTCCAGCACCGCCAGCGAGGGCAACACCCCAGGCCGCCCCCCGTGTACCCCCACTGGCACCAGGCTCTCCTGCCTGACAGGGAGGAGCCAGCTGCCATCAGGGAGCAGCAGCTGCAGGACAGGGTTTCTGTCTTCGGGCAGCAGGGCCCACAGCCTCTCCCAGGGCCTTCACCCCGCCAGCCCCGCCCCGCCCTGCAGGAGCCCCGGCTGGGGGCCCCTGGGGTGGGGGGGGGAGGGTGGGCCTGAGGAAGCACCAGCCTCCGTTCTGGTGCCAGGCCGCTGCCCCAGGATGGCCTGGTGAGAACATTCTGCGGGGGGTGCAGGCCCCTCCCCCGCCCGTCTTGGGGGGGGCAGGGTCAATCAGTGTTGGGGGTGGGGCAGGGTCACTCAGTGTTGGGGATGGGGCAGGGTCAATCAGTGTTGGGGGGTGGGGGCAGGGTCACTCAGTGTTGGTGGGGTTTGGGGGGGCAGGGTCACTCAGTGTTGGGGGGGGGGGGCAGGGTCACTCAGTGTTGGGGGTGGGGGCAGGGTCACTCAGTGTTGGGGGGTGGGGGCAGGGTCACTCAGTGTTGGGGGGTGGGGGGCAGGGTCACTCAGTGTTGGGGGGTGGGGCAGGGTCACTCAGTGTTGGTGGGGTTTGAGGGAGCAGGGACACTCAGTGTTGGGGGTGGGGCAGGGTCACTCAGTGTTGGGGGTGGGGCAGGGTCACTCAGTGTTTAGGGGTTTGGGGGAGCAGGGTCACTCAGTGTTGGGGGTGGGGCAGGGTCACTCAGTGTTGGGGGTGGGGCAGGGTCACTCAGTGTTTAGGGGTTTGGGGGGCAGGGTCACTCAGTGTTGGGGGTGGGGGCAGGGTCACTCAGTGTTGGGGGTGGGGCAGGGTCACTCAGTGTTGGGGGTGGGGCAGGGTCACTCAGTGTTGGGGGTGGGGGCAGGGTCACTCAGTGTTGGTGGGTTTGTGGGGGCAGGGTCACTCAGTGTTGGGGGTTGGGGCAGGGTCACTCAGTGTTGGGGGGTCGGGGGCAGGGTCACTCAGTGTTGGGGGTGGGGCAGGGTCACTCAGTGTTCAGGGGTTTGGGGGAGCAGGGACACTCAGTGTTGTTGGGTTTGTGGGGGCAGGGTCACTCAGTGTTGGGGGTGGGGCAGGGTCACTCAGTGTTGGGGGGTGGGGGAACAGGGACACTCAGTGTTGGGGGTGGGGCAGGGTCACTCAGTGTTGGGGGGTGGGGGGCAGGGACACTCAGTGTTGGGGGTGGGGCAGGGTCACTCAGTGTTGGGGTGGGGCAGGGTCACTCAGTGTTGGGGGGTGGGGGAGCAGGGTCACTCAGTGTTGGAGGTGGGGGCAGGGTCACTCAGTGTTGGTGGGTTTGTGCGGGCAGGGTCACTCAGTGTTGGGGGCAGGGTCACTCACTGTTCCCGTAGGGGGGCGGCTCGATGCAGCCGCACAGCTCCCCGCCGTTGTCCAGCTCGCAGGTGCGGTTGGGACAGTCGGCGCCCACGCAAGGGTCCTCCACCACTCCTGCTAAAAGGGAGAAAGGAACGCGCACACGTGACTCCACACCAACATGCAGCGCCGTGGGCACTCTGGCTGTGACGCGTGGAACTGTGAGGGGACAGCGGCCAGGACGAACACCCAGGAGCGCAGCCGGCAGCGGGCAGTGGGCCGCCCCGCTGTGCGGGCGGGTGGCCTCCCTCTCAGCGCTCTGCGGCAGCACCAACCCCCGCTCCACGGCGCCCTCGCCCGGCCCCCGCGGTGCTGCGTCTGGGGTGATGGCCCCATGGGCGGCCTGGCCGCTGCCACGGCATGTGCTCTGATGACTCGCCGTCTCTGTCCCAGCGCCAGCCCCTCCCGGCGGCACTAGGCACGTCCACGCCAAGAGACAGCCTCAGGCCAGTGAGTCCTGAAGCCCAGGTCACCATCCGCCTTCCCCATCAGCTCCTCCTGGAGTGTGTGACAGACGCCAAACCTCACACAGCTGGCAGGCCGCCCACACACTCTGCCCGAAGGGTGAGGCCGTGTGTGAACGTCCGTCTGCACCTGAGGAACAGCTCCGGGCGAGGAGGCAGCCACCCCCAGAGCAGCAGCAGTGAGTGTGAACCTCGCATGGGGGCCATTCCCTTCGGTCAGTGTCTCTCCCTGTTCGATGTCAGATTCCTGTCTTTCACGGCAGGAGGTGAGCACTGGAGACACCGCCGCCCCACCCCTGCGGCTGACAGTGGGGGGGGGGGGGCGCGAGGCTGCGGTGAGGGGACCGCTGCCCCTGTCCCTGCCAGGGTGAGGCCTGGGTAAGCGGAGACACCACCCGGCCGCCTGGTGCCAGGTGAGACTGGAAGACGGCCGTCAGCACTGAGGACAGCTACTGAAGGAGCACAGCCGGCCCCCAGCAAGGAAACAGCTCCCTGCGATCGATACCGAGGCTCATCTGCCAGTGGCGCCTCAGCTAGCCCTGTACGAGGGGCTTTTGAAGTTAAAAAACAAAATCTCATGAGGTTTTTTTTATTTGATAATAAAAAAGATTAGCGCAGTTAATTTTAAAGTTAAAGTATTGCTTGTTAACACAAAATGACCAAACAAAGCATTTTTGTCAATGTCCTGGAAAGACCGGTCATTCTAAGAGATTCTGAAACCGCTGGGTGCGTGCTGTACTCAGCTGCCTGGTTTTAGGTTTGGACACACTGTCTCTGACCGTGTCAGCTTCACGCTTCCTGTCTGGACGTGTGCGCAGTGCCTTCGAGTGGCACTTTCCTGGCGCCGTGTGCACCCCACAGGGAGTGCGTGTCAAGCAACACCACGCCTCCTGCTACAGGCATGTCTCACCACATCATGGGACAGAGTAGCCACTTGTGTATAGGGTCATACATAAATGCATATGACGTTTGTATATGTTTATATATATTCGCTCCATTTGATTAACATGGTAAGAAAATGAACAGATAGAATAATGGATATCTATAATAATAAAAGCATAATATGCTAATTAGACTGGACAGCCAAACGACCTTCTGGACATCATTCTGGACATCCTTCCAGGTGAAGCCGTCACGGCAGGGGCCAAGGCAGAGGCAGTTGGGGTGATCAGGCAGGCAGGCAAGCAGTTAGGGGCAAGCAGGCAGGTGGGCGGTTAGGAGCCAGTAATCCCAGATTGTGAGAGGGATGTCTGAGTGCTGATTTATAATAGGTCCTATCCCTGAGGGTGGGATCGGGCCTAAACCAGCAGTCAGACATCCCCCGAGGGGACCCAGATTGTGAGAAGGTACAGGCCTGGCTGAGGGACCTCCCCCACCCCATGCATGAATTTCGTGCACAGGGCTTCTAGTATCGATGCTAATAAATGGGTAATATGCTAATTAGAGCGGACAGCTTCCGGACGTCCATCCGGACATCCATCCGTCAAAGCCACAGCGCCTGCAAGGGCCTAGGGCCATGGGGGAGTGGCTGCCCTGCCAAGGGAGCAGGAGCCGAGCAGCAGTACTGCCTCCTCTCTGCAGGGGGCGGCAGTGGGTGGGTGCGAGGACTAAGACCTTGGCATCAGCTGCTACAGCACAAAGGGCCTCACCCAGGAGATGATGAAGGGGGGGCTGGGCCGGGATGAAGAGGCCGCTGAGGCGGCACCAGGGGGAGCCACAGTTCAGGAGCCTCCAGGCCACCCAGCGCTGCACCCAGTCCCGGAGGCATGCCCACCAGTGCGGCGGTGCCACCTGCCCGCAGCCATTCCCAGAGGGTGCGGTGGGCTGTGCACACAGCGAGGGCTGCCAGCGCAAGACCTACGGGGGGTGCGGGTGTGAGCAGCTCATGGCCCTTTGCTTCCTCCATGCCCAACGCTGCCAGGAAAACGCACGCCCCATGCCCTTCTGCCTCAACGTCAAGCAGAAGCTCCACCGGCAGGAGACAGCACCGCCAGCAGCACGCGTAGCTCATGCACCAGCCGAGGCCACCATCACTCCACACCGGGCCCCAGCCGAGTCTGCCTTCCCTCCTTCAGCACTACCCCGGCCCCCACACTGCCTCCCAGCACCCCCTGGGCCCCACAGCCCCCGACTGCCCCAGGCCTCGCCTGTGAGCATGTCACTAGCCGGCTTCTCCAGCATGGCCTGAACTCAGCCACACGACAGTGTGCACTGGGAAGCCCACTAACCAGGTGCCTGCCCTTCTCCTCCTCCCCCCTCCGGCCCACCGGCAGCAGTGGAGGTGCCCGCAGATTGCACCTGAGGCGCAGCAGCAGCACTTGTACTGGGTGAGCACCGACAACGGTATGCCCCTGAGGCAGTGACCCCCAGAGCCAGATGGCCCCCATGGGCCTGAAGGTGACCAAACCAGGTCAGTGGCCTGTTACCCTGCCCCCGGAGCCCTGGCAGCCGGCACCCATCCCCCAGCAACAGCCCACGTGAGGCACGCCAGACCCGGGAGGTTTCTGCAGACCAAGGTGCAGCCACCTCAGAGCGTCTCTCCAGCTGCTGCGGACACTGAAGTCTCCCAGCTCCCCCAGCAGCGGCTCCCCCAGTGCTCAACACCCTCAAGCCAAACCCTCAGCTGATGGCTGCTCTCAGCAAATAGCACACGGCCTAGTACATGGCCAGCCAGCCCGGCCTTCCGCTCTAGCCCAGCCTGCTGAACCTGAACGCCATGCAGGCCACGACCTGCTGTCCCTCCGCAGCACCAAGCAGTGGGAGGCCTGACCCCAGAGCCAGGCCTTGAACACCATGAATCCTGGGTGCAACCCCAGTGGGCGAGTGTGAAGCACAGCGCAGAGATGCCTGGAGCAGCAGCAGCAGCAGGAAGGCAGCGCGGCACGGCTGCAGGCCTGGCAGGACACGCTGGTTCCGGCAGCCTCCAGGCGCTGAGCCACGCGGCAGCAGCGGGTCCTGAGCAGGTGGGTCCCAGGCCAGCCGAACCCGGTTGGCACATTCTGTCCCTTCCCCAGCCCTCAGTGTCTCCCCTGCACTGCACCCAGTACTTCCTATTGTCCCCACTCGAGGCTCCTGCCCTCTCTGCTGTTATTCTCACTTCAGGTGTCACAGGAGAAGCTAAGCAGAGAACAGCAACGCTAGACCCAGCTTCCTGCAACTGCCTGCCCTTGCGTCCGACCCACTTAGAGATATAAATATCCCGCCCGCCCTGCTCTTGCTTGCTGAAATGCATATACTGGTGTGCATTAAAAATAAAACTTCTAAAACTCTCACCACATCTCTTGGCCTGTCTCCTGTGAGCACGGACCTAACAAGCCCCTGAGCCCAGCAGCACACGCTCTCAGAGAGCCACAGCCTCAGCTCACTGGCCAGCAGACGCCACACCCCTCAGCGGCCTGGTGAGATCTGGCCCTGTCAGTCTCCAGATCCCAGTCCCAGCCTACCCTTTCCACCATCACCACGGACCCGCCCCAGCCTTCACCACACCACGTCTCCCTCAGATTGGTTCTCCCCTCCCAGGACTCCCAGGCACCATGACAGCTCTATAGATCAGGGACAAGTGGGGAACCCCAAATATGCAATGCTACCACAGCTAAGTACCCACAGGAGTGCATTGGCCAGTGAGTGAGCTGTCCCGGTTGGTGACATCAGAGTGACACCCTAGAAATGTTGCAGGAGTAGGAGCAGAGGGGCGCCACTGCGGGAGAGGCCTCGGCCCTTCCAAAGAGGCCACGGGAGAGGGGGCTGCGTGGTCCAATCCCAGTGCTGCCCCTACCCCAGAGGTAGCCACAGAGAAAGCAGGACGAATGGGCGCCAGTGCCATGCCTCCACAGAGGCTGGACGGGATGTGACCTGCTGTGCCTCAACCTCCCATAGCCGCCCCCTCCCCCCTGCCAGCCTAGTTGCCCCCAACTGTCCCCCGGGTAGCCCTGGCCACCTCACACAGCCTGCTGCTCAGTCATTTGGTCACCCCTCCCTAACCCCCTGCCGGCCTGGTCGCCCCATGTATCCTGTTCAATTGTCTGTTCGGTTGTGATGGTCACTTAAGCTTTTATTATTATAGACGAGTGGCCCAGTGCACAGACTCATGCACATTGAAAGGAAATTAACTAGAAGAAGTATTTTAATATAGCTATTTACCTTTTTATATAGCTCTGTAATAAAAGTGTCAACCAAATTCACAATCAATAATGACAGATCAAAACACACATGTGCAATTGGCACCAGCAAGAGTTTTTTATGTATGGCGCATGCTTGAGTCAACTTAACCTTTTATACGTATATAATAAACTTGCTTAGACTTGCTTTCTGATGTAGCTAAACTTTTTCTATCCCAGTGAAACAGCTCAACTTCTCTTTCAGGTAATTGTCAGCAACACAGCAATAAATATCAGCATGAAGCAGATTATTATTGTAGATCACACAGAGAGAACAAAGGGTAAAATATGTAATTGCAGCAGTGTTTGACTATATTCTGCACAGTGAGGAAACCTGAAGTTACTTTCAAGGTCCACCATTTCTTACTTCTTTTCAGTTGGGTCAAGTTTCTAAGTTTTTTAAATCTCCGTTTCCTGGCTAATGAAAAGAAAACAGAATTCTACCGAGTCTCCTATCTCCATATTCCAGGACTTCTGTGAGGATCAATGAGATGAGGCATGGTGGAATGCTTCACAGACATTTGATTAAACTGTAAAATGTTTCCACCTGGCTATAAAGCAAGTTGTGTTCCTGGGCTGAAGAAACTTCAAGAAGGCTAGTCACTAGGGAGAGGAAGCCAGGAATTGCTATGTGATGTCATTACCTAGCACCCACAGCCACTGTTTCTGGGCTGGGCTGGGGGCCACATTTTGTGCCATGGCAGCATCAGCTGCGATTTGGTGGGTGTCACTCCAGGGTGGTGGCGGGGCCTGTGTCCCACTTAGGGAAAGCCGAGTGTTGCTTTGTCAGCACCAGGTCCAGAGTGTTCTCTGTAAATGACCAGTGTGGGTCACGGCAGCTTCTACGTTCAGCGTCTGCCCCCTGGTGATCAGTGGGTGTCATAGTGACCAGTCAGATGGCGGAGAGATACTTAACATATTGGCCTTTTGCTATATGTAATTATTTTATCCTATATAATAAAAGGCTAATATGCAAATTGACCGAATGAAGGAACGACCTGTCACTGTAACGCACACTGACTACCAGGGGGCAGACGCTCAATGCAGAAGCCAGCCTCATGGGAGCCTCTCTTGCCTCCACAGCAGTGCTAAGGACCCCTTGGGGGATGTCCAACTGCCAGCTTGGGCCCACTCCCATCCTGGACTATGAAAGGGCACAGGCCAGGCTGAAGGACCCCCCTTCCCACTGCCAGTGCACAAATGTTGTGCCCTGGACTTCTAGTGTACATATAAAATCCCTTTATAATTCTAACCACAGCTTCCTTTCCATCCAGGCAGACATGACCAGCTCCATCCTAACTCAGCTTGCCACTTGCCACTCACACTGCCTCTGACTCAGGCTCTGGCCATGTCAAAGGAGTGGCATGGAGCTGCGTTTGGGGCCTAGATGCATCGGTGCCACGTGGACTCTGTCCCTCCACTTCACAAGTCAGTACACATGCTCGTCCCACCCAGAGCCTCATCTCAACGCCCCCCCCACCCCCCGCTGGTGCTCTGGACCTCGCACCTGGGCAGGAGCTGGCTGCAGCCACCTTTCCAACCCTGGACGCGGGTCTGAGACCAGCTGGCCAAAGGGGCGGAGCCACGCCAGCAGCAAGGCTGTTCTCCCTTAACTTAGAAACAAAACAGCTCTCTTACAGCAATTCTCCTTCTCGATCCACTCGGTGCTGAGGATCCCCAGGGAGCGGCAGGCCTCCCCGTAGGCCGCCAGCGAGCCGCACAGCTGCAGCTTCCGGTGGTTGTAGCAGCCGTCCAGGTAGCAGGACTCGTAGAAGGGCAGCGGGTCGAGCAGCCCGTAGCAGGGCTGGAAGAAGCCCTTCATGTCTGTGAGCTTCAGGCAGTAGCCGTCGCCCTGCAGTCTCTGGATGTGCACGTTGTCGCAGGCGGCCGCGTACTGCGAGAACTGCAGCTCGTTGCAGCTGCGGGCGAGGGGGCAGGTCAGAGAGGAAGCAAAGCAGCCCCTGGGCCCTGGGGGTCGGGGGGGGGGGGGATCTGTCTGCTGCCTCCTCTGTGGACCCAGAAGCCAGCACACCACACCGATCCCAACACTAACTGGCCTGCGACCGCAGGAAGCTCAGGGCATTTCGGTTGATGTCGCCGGGAAAGTGAGCATAAAATCAGACTGACCTGGTGGCCTAGTACCAGACAAAGGCAGAGCCTGACATATTAACCTTTGCTGTGACTGACTGTATCACGGATATAATAACCACAAACAAGTGTTGATCTAACGAATAGCGCTAGTAATGATAACTACTACACCGGTAAGGCTCACACCGGTGTGAAGCTTTCTGTCCACATCTGGGCATTGCTGAGGTATGGCGTGAGAGCCATGTGCAATGCCAGGCAGGAGACGTCTGTCTGCAGATCCAGACCATGATTCAGCAGCCCAGGCGTCCTAATGAACCCCCGTGGAAATAGTGCGCAGAGCTCGTTCGAGGGGGGACAGTTAGGGCCTTGGAGACTTCAGTGTTTAAAGAGGATGTTTTGACTCCTACCAACGTCACCAGCAACCACACCCAAGCCTCCCAGTAAGCACACGACTGGGCCGGCACTGGGGAGCATGCTGTGGCCCTTTTCTCCTGCGTTAACTCTGAATCCCACCCCTGCGGAGTGCTTGGGTTCCAGCTGGCCATTGGTGTAAGCCTGGGCTGACTGTGAAAATTCAGTGACACCACCTAACCCAGGCCCTCCCTCTGCCGCACAAGACACCCCCAAGGCCTCTGATGTGTCTCTTTGTGTCATGAAAACGCCGTAGACTTTGGCTCACTCTGTGCAGGAGGCGGAAGTGATGCTAGGGAAAGAGCGTTTTCCACGGCCGCCCCGTGAGGGGGCGGGCGCCCGTGGCGGCCTCTCACCTCTTCTGCATGCCGTTGGTCTTCCAGCTCTGGGCCAGCACCACGCTGCTCACCACCGGCTTCCCCCGCAGCGTCACGTAGTCGTCAGTTAGGTCCCCATTGAAGTTGCCACAGAGGCCACACACTTTGTTCTGCAGCCTCTCGCTAATGCTGATTTTGATGACGTTGAAGCCGTTGTAGTGAATCTGGATGTCGGGGCTGGTGTCGATCACCAGGAACCCCTCGCTGCTGTAGATTTTGGTTGCCAGCCCAGTTATAAACGGGACATTCACCTGTGTGCCGTTCACCTAGGGAAGGCAATAAAAGCAAATGGTCCTGAGGGCAGAGGTTTGCAAGCACTGGCCGAAACAGGCCAGAGTTAATGTTTTATGGTCTCTATTGCTACTCAACTCTCACCTCATGGCAAGAAAGCAGCCTTTAGACAAGATGTCACTGAGGCTGTGTTTCAATAAAGTTTTACTTACAAACACAAGCAGCAAGTAAATTGGCTAAATTCTGTACTTTGCTGCCCCCTGCTCCAGAGTTCGACACTCACTCATTTCACTGGTCACAGTTCCCCACAAAGAAGTAAAATATGAAAGCAGAGGCAAGAAAACGTTAGGAAATGTAACCACAGCCAAGGGTGGCTTTCCAGCATAAACAATGGCTGGAAACGTAGGCCAGCCCTGCACTGAGGTGCTGGCATGGCAGCGTGGCTGGAGGACGCAGCTATCTTACTGTCTTCTTGCATCCAATGCTGACCGCTGACCAGAGTCCAGCCCCGAGAGCCGGTAGCATAGCATTCCTGCATCTATCACTGTCTTGCTTCATAACAATCTCTTTTCTTAGCCTGTAGGATAGAATGTAACATGCTTTTCTTATACTTACAAAACAAATTGTATTTTTTTTCACCTGCAGGTTATTAGAAAATTTTATTTCTTTTTAAAAAATATATATTTTATTCATCTTTTACAAAGAGGAAGGGAGAGGGATAGAGAGCTAGAAACATCGATGAGAGAGAAACCGACCAGCTGCCTCCTGCACATTCCCTACTGGGGATGTGCCCGCAACCAATGTATAATACATGCCCTTGACTGGAATGGAACCTGGGACCCTTCAGTCCACAGACCGACGCTCTATCCACTGAGCCAAACCAATTTCGGCTAAATTTTATTTCCTAAAAAATCAGGAGCCTCTAAAAATATGATTACTTTCTATTTTAGCAGCATGGAGTGTTTTATTCAGCAACAATGTCAGCTTTGCTGTGTTGGGTGGCTAGGTCACCTCTGGCTCTGGGTTCTGGATGAGTGTCACTGTGTCTACGTGGGCCAGTTTGCAAAAGGAACTGTAGCAGCTTTCCCTGAAGTTAAAAGGCAGGAGTAGAATGTAAACGCCTTCTTTAAGCTCAGAAAATACTGCCAGGCCTTTGCCTAACTCTGGATACTAAACTACATGATGATGGTTTGACACTCTCTTACCTAAGCCAGAGCTGGAACACAGACACAGACACACACACAGACACACACACACACACACACACACACAGACACACACACACACACACAGTTCAATTCCAGCAAACGCTCGTGTGTGCCTGGTCCATCCCTGCCCTCTCGGCTGTCACAGAGCATCGAGCTCTGACTTCATCCTCAGGTCCACCTGTGGCCGCAGCCGGTTCACCTGAGGCTGGAGTCCCTGACAACAGCTCACAAGAGCAGGTTACATCTTAAAGGGAAGGGGTGTGAGGACTCAAGTACAGAGGCCTGTTCGCGTGAGTGGGCTGAGGCTCACGCGTGTATTTATTCATCTTTCCACATGTCCCAGATGCAAGGAGCCCGGCAGCTGCCTGGGGAAGCCAGCAGTGAGGACAGCACTCCTCCCATCATGTGCCTGCCGCTGGCATGTCCTCTGGGCCCTGTCCTGGTGGGGTGTGCCCTCCCTCAGGGTGTGGTCTAGGTACTTGCGTTTTTAGGCCAATGCTCGCTTCTCTCAGCTTCTGGAAGGATGGCAGAGATGGAAGAGCGAGTCTGCGTGTAAGTGGGCAGAACCAGAATGACTGTAAAGGCTCAATGCGCTGCTCACGGGATGAATCCGGAGAGAGCGAGCCTCTGCCACGGTGTCGCCTGAAGCTCCACCGTCACCGGCATCATCGCATTCCAGATCCTGCTGAGCCCTGCGGCTTCAGACTGTCTGCACAGGGACAAAGGGCCTGTCCCTGCACTCACGGGACCTTTATACTGACTCTAAGACCTGGACTCAGCCCTGGCCGGCTGGCTCAGTAGACAGAGCATGGGCCCGCAGGCTGAGGGCCTCAGATCTGGGTCTGGTCAGGGCACAGGCCCAGGTTGCAGGCTCCACCCTCAGTGGAGGGCGTGTAGGAGGCAGCCGGCCAATGATTCTCTCTCATCGCAAATGTTTCTCTCTCCCTCCCTCTCCCTTACTCTCTGAAACCAATAGCAATATATTTAAAATATAAAATGCAAATAAAATGGATGATCTGTGCACGGTGCCTGTGAAGCGGCAGCTGTGACCCTCACGCCAGGTCGTCAGGGGCCAGGGACCGGGTGTGGTCACCTTGACAGTGTTGCGGTCGCTGATGAGGATCTGCTCCTCGTTGATGTAGAAATAGACGGGTGAGATGACGGTGAGGTTGGGGGAGGACCACTTGTCGAAGTTGATGATGAGCTGGAAGGAGATGTCGGGCAGCTTCTGGCAGATGGTGGAGAGCACGAAGGCACAGTTGGCGGGGAAGCGCAGGAAGGCGCCGTCGAAGGTGCGGAAGACACCGCCGCCCGCTGCCAGGCAGTAGGAGGTGCGGGTGCTGAAGCAGCCGCGCACCCCGTGCCGCAGCGCGCACTCCTCGTCTGACTTGCACTGGCGCGGGTCGCACTGGATCAGGTTGCGCCGGAAGCAGCGACAGCGCCGGGTGCAGTCGCTGTTCCAGAACAGCTGCTTGGGCTGCAAGAGAGGCTCTGGTGAACTGGGGCTGTGGGCAGGGAGGGGGACCCTGAGAGGGCAGGGCGGGCCAAGGCTAACTCCTGACTCCATTCTGTACTGTGGGGCAGGGCAGAGCTATCCTTCATTTTGTGTAACTGGACCCTAGCCCTCACCCAACCAATCAGGGTCAGCTAAAGCAGTGACAACACCACCCCTATAAAACCCCTTGACCTGTTGAAGCCAGCTCTCTTCCACCACGCTGTCAGCGTGAGTGGGACAGCACCCATGCTAGTATGGAATTCAGGCTTTCTGTAATTGAATCGGACTTGGCTCCCTGGTGGTCCTTGAGGAATCACAAAATCTGGGCGTAACATTTGGGGGCTTGTCTGGGATCCCCAAGACCCTGAGGGACCCCCGATCTGGAGAGCCTGACTGGCCACAGTAAGTGTGTGTGTCTGTGTGCTTGTGTGAGCTGGCTCTGGAGGGATGTGGAAACCCCTCGTGCCTGAAGAGGTCTAGATGAATGCACTGCTGGAAGACCACAAGCCAGAGGACTCGGAAGACGTTCTGACCTCCCAGGGGGCCCCTCACAGGAGGAGAGAAGTGGAAACCTCTCCCAGGACGGTGATTGGCGTGAGGCCGATGTCTGATTTGTGGAGGTCTGGAAGGGCTGATGGCAGACTTCTTGTTCTAGTGAGCGGCCAGCTTTCAATGTCAGAGGGCCACCCGTCGGCATAAGGCTGTCGATTGGTTTTGCTTCCACGGAGCTGGAAGACTGTTCTCAGGGGCCCTCTGTCTGTTACTGTGTTCCCTGTTTGTATGGTTGTGTAACTAAGAGTTTCAGTTTGCTCTTGTTTGTAAATTTGCTGATTCTTTCCCCCAGAGCAGGCAGGAGGTGGGGGAGGGGAGAAGAGACCTCATACTCACCATCTTTTAGGCATTGGGGATTTCTGTACTCATGTCAGGCGGAAAGACTGGTTCAAAATGAGTGCCATAGTTTTGGGCTGGGCTTAACTCTTTTCTGTGTACAGAATGAGTTTTAAGGATGGTGGAGATGAACTGGGAGATAAATTAAAGCTAGTTTCCCAAAAAGTTCTTTTGAAATTTCCCACCCTGAGGCAAGTAACCAGGAGATAGTAGGTAGCAAGTTTACATATGAATGGCTGGGAGTCTTCAGCTATCTTTAAAGAATGTGTTCATTTGCATTTGAATGGTTAGCCAAGGGACAAGTTTCCATGTGAATAGCTCCCAGATTCCCTGGCAGAGAAAAAAAATATGGTTTAATTGTTGGATTTTGGAATTTATTCCTGAAAATATAGAAGTTTATTAATGGGGAGTTGCTGGATGTTTGACTTTCGAGCTCTGAAAGTTTTGGGATTTGGATATGCTTAAAGAATGTGGTTTCTTGTTCAAATTAAAATCTTAGTTTGTATTTGGAATTTAAAATCTGTAATAAGAAGTGAAACTCCACTGAAGTGAAACTCCACAAAAAAACTCCACAAGAAGCTGAAACCACATCTGGTGCAGAGAAATTCAAAGGTAGCAGGAGAGGGTAAATCTATCTGCTCTCCTGCAATGAGATTACTCAATGCTTTGTTTAAAAATTATAAAAGGACTTGAAAATTGGGTGTTATCTTGGCCAAATTGGGTGCTAGTTATTACTTAAGAAAGCAAAAAAGAAAGAAAAAAAATTGAGATCTGTCTTTATTTATTAAGCATGAAAAAAATGTGTTGACAAATCTGTTGCTGAAACTTCTCCCAAAGTAAGTAGGATGTGGGGGAAGGGAGAGACATCTGGCAATCCAATATTTGACTTGCCAGCTTTAAAAGTTCAAAGTATAAATTAAATTGGGAGAAGTTATATAAATGTGGTAATTAAATACCTAGAGTAAATAATTAAGAATTCAAGATGTATTACTTGTTTGGTATGTCTATGTTTATTAATTTAAAAGTATGAAGTTGTAACAATTGTGGTCCAAAAGGTTAAAACCAGGGACCAAATTCTAAAGTTAACTACTGTTTGTCTCAATTGGCCATTTAAGGTTGATGTGGTTAATGATTACAGTACATTGTAAAATCTTTAGAAGAAATACCCTCAAGCAGAAGGGCTTTTCAGAAAATTCAGGGAGTCTGTTTGCAATGTAGAGATCACCGGTTCCCCTACTAGCAGGAGGCAAGTGCCTTTCCCAGTGGGAACAGAGTGAACTGCTGGATGAAAATGCCTCGGTGGGGGCACCTTCGCCATTTGGGACCTGAGCCACGCTCCCTGCCTCTGCCCACCCGGAGTCCAGGGGTTGTTTTGAGTAGCGGTGGCAGGGACAAGGAGAAAAATTCTCTTGTGACCCGCTGCCCCCCAATTAGACTGTTATAGTTATATTAGTGTGATGTTTGATTTATATTTTAAGGATTTAAAACAGTGTGAGAATAATTATTTGTGTGATTTAACCCCCAGCAACTGCTTGGACACTTTTAACCGGTGTTCTGTTAGGGGGCTTAGAGATGCAGCTAGATCTGTATCTGTAGGGAAAGTGTGGCATTTTAAATTTCATGCGGCTGGAGGCCTGAGAACAGGGTACTGGACAGGCTCCCTCCTCCCTTGCCTTTTCTATAAGATTTGAGGCATGGTTATGTATTTTTGATGGATATAGAAAGAAGGTTTAAAAGTTAATTTGATAAAGATTTTTGTAAAGGTTGTACATGTGATGAAAAAGGAGAGCACAGAAAGAGAATGTCCTGATAGGTTAGCTAGGAGAGGCAAACCTGTTAGTTTCCTGGTGGACACTGGGGCAGCCTATTCAGTCTTAACAGAGCAAATAGGACCTGTACATCAATCCAGGAAGCCACCGGACAAACTGCCTGTTTTCCTTGGACATCAAAGAAGGACTGTTGACCTTGGAAGGAACACGTACTGGGGGAATGCAGCTGCTGAACTGGAAACAAGGCTCTCGTCTCAGCACCTGCCCTAGCCTTGCCAGACATTGCGAAGCCCTTCCACCTCTACGTGAGTGAGGTAAGGGGCATTGCCAAAGGGGTTCTCACTCAGACTCTAAGTCCCTGGAAGAGACCTGTTGCCTAAGAGATTGGACCCTGTGGCAGCAGGGTGGCCAGCGTGCCTCCGGGCAGTGGCCACCACAGCATTGCTGGTGATGGAGTCAGATAAGCAGACTCTGGGCCAGGAGCTACACTGGCCATCAGCCCTGCTGGCCTGCTTCCGGATGATGGTCCAGAGGAGCCCATTTATGGCTGCATGGAGGTGACGCAGTGCTGCCAACATCACCAGATGAGGCAGAGGTAGCGGTTGTCACCCTGGACCACACCATTTGGGCACAGCTCCTGAACTTTTGGCCTTAATCCAGGCTCTTTGATGGAGACACTGGGACATCCACAGAGAAAGAGAGTTGCCAACTGCAGCAGGAAAGAATTGGCTGAACAGTAGCAAGCCACTGAAGGACCAGATGATTGGTGGACCCTCCAGATGACAGATTGTTGGTCCCAGAGGCTCTAGGTCAGACGTTAGTTGCCCAGTGATACCAGGTTACCCACTTAGGTGTCAACAAGACTTTTGAGTTTATGTGAGGCAGAGTTGCTAGAAGTACTGTCTGAGCACAGGTAAATGCTAAGCAAGGTAAGGTGGGTCCCTCTGGGAATTCGGGTCCCAGGAAACTTCCCCAGGAGAACATTAGTAAGTGGATTTCAGAGATTAAACCACCAGCATTAAGGTCTAGTTTTTGTAGACACTTCAGATTAGGTTGAAGTATAATCTCCTGGAGCAATCTCCTGACCACTATAGAGGCAGTTCCCTGGGACAGGAACTGCCTCTATACTGGTCAGGAGATTGCTCCAGAAAATTATACCTAGATTCGGGCTGCCAGTATAGCTCAAGCCTTAGGACAGGCATGAGCAGGTCTCTGAAAAGGAGTTTAACTAAATGTGTCCTAGAATCAGTAAAAATTGGAACAATCCCCTGTCCTTCGCCCTCTTATGGGCCAGGTGTACCCCTACTGGGACGAGTTCCCCCTTTTTTGGGATCATGTATGGTAACCAGTCCCTTGCTCAAGTCCTTACAGACTCTGCAGTTTGCTTGTTCCAGATGCACTGCCAGTGCCCACCACAGACCCTGTAGCCTGGGAACTAATGTGAGTAAAGAAATTCACTGCCCAAGGACTCAAAGGGACGCTACACTGTTATCCTGAGCACGCCCACAGCTGTTGAAGTAGATGGCACCCAGACCTGACTACATGATTCCCAGCTCCTGCATGGCCTGGATCCTGACAACTAGTGGCCTCACATGTGAGATCCCCAGCCTGGGCTCCACACAGGCCAGGAGGAGACTTGATGCCTGCAGGAGGGGAACTGGACTTCAGTGAGGACAGTACTGATGGGGACTGTGGTACTAAGGGTCGTAGTAACTGTATTTGTTGTTTGTGCCGATTCTTACTCATGTTGACATTTTTACTAGCCAGTGAGAAAGTCTAGGGCTAAGTAAGACTAGGTAACAGAACAGCGAATGCCCTAAAAGGAAGTAGGCTGAGTCAATGATTTGACTCATGCACATAAGACAAGGGGGGAATGAGAGGGCAGGGCAGGGCGAGGCTAACTCCTGGCTCCATTTTGTACTGTGGAGCAGGGTGGAGCAGGGCAGAGCTATCCTCAATTTTGTGTAACTGGAGCCTAGCCCTCACCCAACCAATCAGGGTCAGTCAAAGCAGTGACATCACCACCCCTATAAAACCCCTTGACCTGTTGAAGCCTGCTCTCTTCTGCCATGCTGTAGGTGTAAGTGGGACAGAGCCCATGCTAGCATGGAATTCAGGCTTTCTGTAATTGCATCGGACTCGGCTCCCTGGTGGTCCTTAGGGATCACGAAATCTGGGCCTAACACCTTGGGCTACGGGTGGGGAGGGGGACCTTGGGCTGTGGCAGGGAGGGAGCCCCTGGGCTGCGGTGGGGAGGGGGCCACAGGAACCCGGAAGCCCAGGCTGTCTTTGGTGGGCGAGGCTACCTTTCTTTAAGGAACTGATACTGGAGCAGAAGGAAGGCTCTTTCATTCAAATGTTACACTAGTTCCCTGCAGCTCAGATGCAAGCCATATGCAATGTGGGTTTACTGGTTTCAACCAAGAAGTTGGGAACCTTTGCAGCAGGTTGTAGATTACAGCCAACCTGAACCTGCAGCTGTTAGGCCTCAGAGGGACGAGTGAAAAGCAGCTCCATTTGGTAAAAAATCCTTGTGGACCATGGAAGCATGGAGGGAAGGCGGGAAGGGCAGGAGGGAGGTAATCCATCAAAGGCCTTGTGTGCACATATGCATGGCCCATGGGCACAGACAATGGGCAGTGAGGGCCTGGGGGTAGGTGGAGATGGACAGGAGAAAGTCAATAGGGAGGAAAAGGTAATACCTTCCACAGTGAAGGGTTATTTTAAAAATGTTATGCTAACAAGTACCCATTCCACTGCAAGGAGGACATTTACATTCACTCAAGAATAATAACCAGGCCCTTCAAATTTTAAATAGGTAAAAAGAAAGTGATAGCCAACCCTTATAATACACCATTTTAACATTTCACAACACCCAACACTCCCAGATTTTTCTTGTATCGAGGCCACTTCTGTTTATTTGAATTGCAAGTACCCAAGTACCTCCATTTCTGCGCGTGTCATGAGGGAGGGATCTAAAAAACAGTGATGTTCCATGAAAGGAAAGTTTTGGGATAAGGCCACCTGGGTGTCACTCCAGCCTTGACATGATACATGTGCCACCTTGGACAGCACGACTCACCTCTCAGGCTGTCAGTTTGCTATCTCTAAATTAAAGGTAATCATGTCTTGCAGGGCACTCCTGATTCTGATCCAGATGAAAGAGTAAGTAAATGCTGTGCTTGATGGGGAAAACAACACATTGGAGGGGGGGATGTCCTAGCAATCTGAATCTGTGCCAGAACCCTAATGTACATTCTTGATAGCTTATAATTAAGTCACTGCTCCTTTCCTACAATCTGGTCTTGTAAGACCTGAGGCCATAAACTGAACAATACACAACCCCAGCAGGTGGTTATCAGTGCTGATGCCAGGCCAGGCCCATAGGTGTGGCCTCAAGACCCCCATCCGAACACCTGGGGCTTTTTGCAAAGCCCGGAAAAGTCCGGAAGTCCTGTTCCATATTTGGAGGACAAAGACATCAAAGGGGTATAAAGAAGAGCTTCCACCATATTGGTTTGCTCAGACTTTGAGAGGCAGTTCCTTGGAGACCACCGGTAATAAAGCTGCATGGCTCCATTTCTCTAAGTGTCACTTGGGTTTCTTTAGTCTTCTACAACATGATCACCATTTCTCATCAAAACTATATCTAAACTATAGAACAACCATCTTTGAGAACCACTGAGTCTAGTGGAACAGGATCCTACAACTAAAAATGTACAAAGAGCCCTGCTGAGATTGGCAGGAATGTGAAATGGACTGGTCCTCACTGTGTGGTGGATAAGAATCAGCAGGGATATGTTGATTATGGAGGTCCCCCTGAGGAGTGAGGGGTCCCAGCCGCCACGGGGTTCTTCAGCCCAGACTACCAGTGCCAGGAAGAGTAGTCCCCACAATGTCTTTCTGTGAAAGTCAGCTACGATTCCCAGGCACTCTTCTTAAAGGGCCATGTGGGTGGAATCCCAGGCATTCCTCTTAAAGGGCCCACGCAGAGCACAGACTCACTTGCTAACTCACACTAAGCTCTAGTGAAGGGGCAATAGCTCAAAAAGTGTGTGGGGAACATGAGAAGAACTGAATTGCCCTGCTCCAGAGCAAGGGCTGGAAGGTCAGTTCTCTCTGGGACTAAAGTGCCTGCAGGTGCCACTTTTCCTTTGTTGAGCCCTTCCCCCAAACAGATGGCAGGTATAGGCAGGCACCAAATCTGAGTCTCAATTAACCTGGCTAACACTGCTAGCTCACTACACCCTGGTAATTCCCTGAGATCCCACCGGATGGCAAGGAGGCCTCAGAACCAACATACCCAGTGGCCAATGTCAGACACATTAGAGTAGCCCTCAAAAAGCTCAACAGATGATACACTCAAAGTGTCGACTTAACAGGAACCAGAACCACACTAAGGTGAATCCCACACAACAGATTGTCACAGGCAGTCCTCACATCAAGTCAGCCAAAGGTCAGTCCCACCAAATGATAGGTCAACAGCAATCAAGGATCAACTACAACAGGAGGGTACATTCAATCCACACAAGGGACACAATGGAACACCCAGCTCAGGTGACCAGGGACTTGCACCACTGAGCCACACAAAAACCCGACTACATAAAAATGCTCTGCCAAAATGGGAAGATGAAGCAGATCTACCTGATGTGTAGAAACACAGGGAGGCAGCCAAATAATGAGAAAAAGAAAATGTCCCAAATGAAAGAACAGGACAAAACTTGCAACCTGCCAGGTACAGAATTCAGAACAATGGCTATAAGGATGCTCAATAAACTTAATAAAACTTATACTAGAAACCATAGGAAAAAGCCTATCAAAAATGAAGAATACAATAACAGAAATGAAGAATACATTAGCTGGAATCAACAGCAGATTAGATGAAGTGGAGGGTCAGATCAGTGATCTGGAAGACAAGCAAACAGAAAACACCCAAAGAACAGCTCTTTGAAAAGAAGAATTTTTAAAAAGTGAGGACAGTTTAAGGAACCTCTAGGACAACATTTGAATCATAGGGTGTACCAAAAAAGTCCAGGAATTGCAGAGTTCAAAACAAGATGAACCCAAAGGGGCCTACACCAAGAAGCATATAATTAAAATGCCAAAGGTTAAAGACAAAGAGAGAATCTCTTATAAGTAGCAAGAAAAGAAGCAGTTAGTTACCTACAAGAGCGTTCCCATAAGACTGTCCACTGATTTCTCAACAAAAATGTTGCAGGCCATAAGGGATTGGTACAAAATAGTCAATGTTATGAAGCAGGGCCTACAACCAAGATTATTCTACCCAGCAAGGCTATGGCTTAGCATTGATAGAGAGATAAAGAGCTTCTCAGCCCAGAAGAAGCTAAAGGAGTTCATCACCACCAAACCAGTATTACAATAAATGTTAAAGGGATTTCTCAAAGAAGAAAAGATTTAAAAAAAAATGAATAAGAAAGGAGTATAAAGAAAAAACTCTCACTTACAATGGTTAACACATAATAAAAACAGTGAATCAATCAATTATAAAGCTAGTACAGAAGGTAAAAGGCAAAACTAAGAAAATCATGTGTATTTACAACAGTAAATTTAAACACACACACAAAAATAATAATTACAAAAGTATAAACATGGAGGAGGTAAGTAAAAAGGATAATCATTTCAGAATATGTTCAAATGCAAGCAAATATTAGGTTAAAATAGATGGTTATAAACATAGCTTGATATATATGAAGCATAAGTAACCACAAACCAAAAATCTACAAGAGATATACAAGTAATAAAAAGAAAATAATTCAAATAGAACACTACAGAAAATCATCAACATACAAAAGAACAATAAAGAAACAGAACAACAACAAAGTCAGAAAATAGCTAGTAACATGGAAATAACTACAAGCAATCAATAGTTACTTTAAATGAAAATGAACGAGAGGTGGATCCCTGGGTGCATAGCTTGGTCCTTTCCACATGCACGTAGGTCCAGCAGAGGGAGCCACAAGCTGTGGAGGGCTGATGGCTCCAAACAGGTTGTCCAGAGCCAGTCACAGGCAGCATCTGATTTGGCCTGCATCAGGTCCCTGAGAAGAGGCCCAGATCCAGCTCACCTAGAGGAAAGCTTCAGAAAACAGCAGAGCAGAGTCCAATAAGCTTCACAGGCAGCACATCCTCAGGGAGGTGTTGGCAGCACCATCACTGCTGAGGTGAATCCACTTCGTGTGATCAGCACCGAACAACAGCCTGCACACTGTGTTGGGGGTTGAGTCTCACTGTCAGCCAGCCTGAAGGTTGATCCCATGCACAAATGGGCCAATAGCAATCAAAACTCATTTACAACAAGAGGGCCTAAATAAAGCACACAAGGGACATCATTCGAGCACCCAGGGCTGGTGATCAGGGAGACTGCATCTCTGGGCCACACAGGTCACCTCCTCTATAAAGCCACCATACCAAGACTGGGAGTCACAGAAGATTTACCCAATACTTGCAGATACAAATAAAGGGGAAGCCAAATGGGGAGACAAAGAAACAGGCCCCAAATGAAAGAACAAGATAATTTTTCAGAAGAGGAGCTGAACAAAGTGGAGATAATCAATATATCAGATATAGAGTTCAGAGTAATGATTATAAGGATGCTTAATAGCATGAAAAAGGGCTTAGAAACCATAATAAAGTCAGAAATGAAGAATTCCAGATCTGAAATAAAGAATACAATGGGAGGAATGAACAGTAGCCTCACTGAAACAGAGGATCAAATCAGTGATTAGAAGACAAGGTGGATAAAAACACCCAATCAAAGCAGCAAAAACAAAAACAATTTTTTTTAAAATGCGGATAATTTAAGGGAACTTTGGAACAACATGAAGTGTAACAACATCCATATCATCACAGTCCCAGAAGGAGAAGAGAGAGAGGAAAGGGCCCAGAAATTATTCAAAGAAACAATTACTGAAAACTTCCCTAACCTGGTGAAGAAAAAACATACGAGTCCAGGAAGCACAGAGAGCCTCAAAAAAGATGAACCCAAAGAAGCCCATACCAAGACACATCATAATTAAAATAGCAAA